TTTAAACAAGGGTTTAGGGTTTAGGGTTTAGGGTTTAGGGTTTAGGGTTTAGGGTTTAGGGAAGTACCCCTGATGTTAAGAGAAGCCCCCATAGCAGAGCCCCTGTCTCTGATTTCCTTCAACCGTCTGAGCCAGACTTCACATAGAGGCCTGAATCGTTAGAACAGGGTTTCGGGGTATATGATAGTAAGAAATGTATGGGACTAGAAGGGATATTACTATTAACATGCACTAACCTATTCAGATCTCGATACGAAGTTGACATAACCCTAAGGGTCCATGTAGTCCTGATTCATGGCTTTAGGTACCCCAAAATGCCCCAAAGTCCTTAAATAATGGGTACTTGGACCCTTGGGGTAAGTCTCGCAGGACGATTCTGGACCACTGTGGCCTCAGCGAGAACTTCGGCACGGGTAGCTGATGGGCCAAGAAGATGCTGCTCGGCTTCCTTGCGCGTGAACTCACGTTTGGAGTAGATCAGGGTTTTAAAGGTGTCTACGGAGGGGACAGGTTTGAGACCAAAGACTATTTCATGACTGAATGAGGCTTTCAGAAGGTTTAGGGCTCAGGGTTTGGGGTTCTGCTTTCAGCGAGTGCTTGCCTTGTCTTCCTGTCTGTATTCTGCTCATTGTAAGCGTTGCTTTGCAAAGAGGCCTGCATTTCGATTTCGGACGAAAAGCAAAACACTACACGCCCTGCAAGGAACAAGGAGTTGTAAGAAATGCAAAGGACATTAACAACATCTTCCTGAAGGGGCACCAAATTTGGTGCACCTACTTCTTTGAGAAGTAATATGAAATTTGAAAGCAACGATCCCCAAACAAGATCTTACATAGTAAGATCGCTACTCCAAACATCCGCAACAAAAAAGCCCACAGTTCGGAAACTTCCACATGACATAAGGAAGCCCCAAACCCCAAAACCATCACGCCGGAATTATCCCTGGCCCTGAACAGGAGCCCGAAGAAAACCCGAAACCTCGAATCCCGTCCCTAAATCGCGCCTGGAGCCGTTGTCGCCTTTCTGGGCGGCTGCCCTCCACGAACATGGACACCTGGGGGGGAACCCTAAACCCTAAACCCTAAAGCCTAAACCCAAAGGTGGGGGGGGGGGGGGCAGGGGCTTAGGGTCTTGGACACACCCAAACCGAGCTTCGGGTTTAGGGCTTGGAGGTTTTAGGGTCTTGGGTTTGAGGGCTGACGGTGCATTTGTTTGTAGGATTATCGGGTAAACCCTAAACCCTAAACCCTAAACCCTAAACCCTAAACCCTACGGAGGGGTTTCAGCACTTCAAGTTTTTCATTTGAAGGGGAGGACGGCCTCGTCCAGGAAAGTATCGTCCTGCAAATGATCGTCCCATGTAAGGCCCTTTAGGGTTTAGGGTTTAGGGTTTAGGGCTTAGGGTTTCCTTGACATCGGAGGTACCCCTATGTAGGGATCCTTTCAACAAGGTCTTACACGTTCCGGCCAGTATTGGAGAACCCCATTGTCCTGCCAGTAGCAAGATGTGGAGCCTCCGCAGGCAGACTTCGTGGCGCATACAACCTTTACAGCCACAGCCAATCTCAACCCTCAACTCTCAACCCTAAACCCTAAACCCTAAACCGATCGAGCAACCTCAAACCATTCCGACTGAAACGCCCTATACGAGTTCATAGTGACTCAATCTCAAACACACCTAAACAGAAATCTCCGAAGCTCTCACAGTGCATCCCGGAGGCATGACCAGAGGCATCTGGTAGGATGTCTTCTCCCTGGGAAACCTTCTCCGTGTCAATCGTCCAGTACTGCGAGCCTTGTCTATGTTGTCTTTGTTACGGTGGCTTTCGGTTGCGTGTTGTTTTATACTTTCTGACGAGGGGCGGTATATGGCGGGCAGCTTTTCGTATGCACTTGTTCTGTGGCGTCTGGGGACCGAATGCCCACAATATGCTAGTGCGAACAGCTGAAACGCTGCCAAATCCACCACCCGCATTCTACTTACATCACTTCTGCCCCTTTCTAGGGCACACGTCAGATGCAAGTAGCAGGTTTGGGGTTTAGGGATTAGGAGCAACTCCAACAAAATGACTGAAGTCTTTGAAGCGACCCCCAAAACTCGAAAGCTGCAAACAAAAGATTGATGCCGACAACCCAAGCACCAACACGTCGAAACGATAGCAAACACCGTCAAGAAACAGCCGTTTGGAGAACTAGAACTACCCACAGTAGACAGCAGCGGAAGTGACTACAAGCCCTTAGAACCTAAAATGACAACAATATGTTAACTAACCCCTTGTACTGGATTGTAAACAACTCGAACTGAATGGTAAACAACTCCTCAGGATATGCAAGATCCTGCGGATCTGCCCAGTGTACTGTAAACCCTGGCACCCTAAATCCCCAATCCTAAATCCCCATGCCCAAAACAATACAGCCTAGAGCCTAATTCCTGCATCCTAAACCCCCCAAAACCCTAGACCCAAAGCCCTAAACCCTAAAACCCTAAACGCTAAGCCCTAAAACCCTAGACCCGAAGCCCTAAAGCCTAACACCCTAAACCCTAAACCCCAAAACCCTAGACCCTGAGCCCTAAACCCTGAAAACCCTCAACCGATGGCCTGCCAGAACATGAGTTGGCCCCATCTCCAGTGTCGTCTCTTGCGGGTAGTACAGCATCATGCACCAACCTTGTAGCTTGGGTTTAGGGTTTAGGGTTTAGGGTTTAGGGTTTACTCCCAATAATTAGAGGAAACTACAGGTGGGGAGTTTAGGGTATATAGGACTTCCACAAGGCTTCCATAAGGCATATAGACCTTCTCCTATAACCGTAACTACCCACCTGAAAATGTCCTAGACCTTGTAGCTTTCTCCCCATGGTCTCTAGGTGTAGAGTTTAAGGGCTTAGGGTACTACCATAAGGGCTACTACAAGGGTCTGTTCTTTTAGGGTTTATAGGTCTTTGTCTTTTAGGGGTTTCGGGTTAAGGGGTTTAGGGCTTCTGTGGTTCAGGGCTCAATGTTCACAGCCAAGGGGTCTTGTCATGGGGTCTGGTGCCGCTCTACTTTCTGGTTCGGGAAGTCCGAGCGCCCAGCTTTTACCGAAGCGATGATCTGGTGTTATTTAAACGAAACTACAGGTGGGGAGTTTAGGGTATATAGGGCTTCCATAAGGCTCCTATAACGGTAACTACCCACCTGAAAATGTCCTAGACTTATTTGGGCGGTGCAAGCTTTGGGGCATCATTGTCTACAGCTCTGAGCCTGCACAGGTGCTTAAGACCTAAGTAGGGATTTAGGGTCGCGTTCAAATAATATAGGGGCCTTAATAATTAGAATAAGGTTTCGGGCACCTTTAATAGCATAGTTATAGTAAGGAACCCTAAGGAATAATATTGGTAAATATCTAGGCTTCTATAGTATATCTTAGGGGCTGAGTACCCTAGCCGAAACAAAGGCTAACCTTTGGAATTATAGTAGGACTACATAAGGCCCAAAAGGTGAAAGGTTACCCACTCAGCTCCTAAGATATGGGTAGTTGTCAAAATTATGGTCTCTTTTTGGGGTACCCTAAATAATAGGTGCCGTATTATAATAAGGACCCAAAAAGGGACCATAATTTTGACAACCACCCATATGAGTTTCTGGACGGACGGGACCTGCTTCTGTCAGATCTCCAGGATCCATCTGGTTCGACCCGACTTTGTGCCAGAATACGGCTCATGATCTAAATCCTGCATGACCTGAAGGAGGTCTAGGGTTTAGGGGTTGGGGGTTTAGGGTTTAGGGGTTTGGGGTTTAGGGGTTTAGGGGTTTGGGGGTTTAGGGGTTTAGGTTTTAGGGACAATAGTAGCATGACCTTCAGGACCCTGAACTATGGGAATTATGGTATATTCCTTATTATGGGTAATGCAGGATGTATATCATCAACCGTAGTTGATGGCAGGTGGCGAGGGCGATGATGGCGCATGCGCCGGAAGCCCCAGTAGGAATCCTGTGTACGCAGGAGCTCAAGTCTAACATCTAGGGCTTAGGCCCAAAGCCCTAAACCCTAAACCTCTGATTAGGGTTGAGGGTTTAGGGTGTAGGGTTTAGGGTTCAGCGGTTAGAGAATTGTGGGTTTAGTGTGTAGGAGGGAGGCCCTGGTGCAGGGTTTGGTGGTTTGGGTGGTGTTTAGGTGGGGGAGCTCACGGTTTTATTGGGTGTAGGATTTAGGATTTAGGGTTTGGGGTTTAGGGGTGTAGGGATTGGGGTTTAGGAAGTGGGGTTCTGGAATGGACCCTATAACCCTACAACTTACATGGGGCGGCTTCTCAACAGCCGGCTGTTCATGCGTAATTGGCTTTACAACTACAGATCAAAACTACGGTAGGTCGGTGTTACGGTCCGTGAAGTCTGAACCTCAAGCCCAACGCCCACTAAGACAATCTGGGTAGTTCTAACCCTAAACCCTAAACCCTAAACCCTAAACCCTAAACCCTAGGGTTCCTTTTCGGGTCTTTCTAATACGGGTACCGTACTATTTTGGGGGACCTGACCTGGAAGGGACCCCTGATTCAGAGAACTCCCCGTTTGTTTATGGAGAGCTTTCAGTTCCATCGTCAGAACATGAGAAGAGGATCCGGAACGGTTTAGGGTTTAGGGTTTAGGGTTTAGGGTTTAGGGTTTAGGGTTTAGGGTTTAGGGTTTAGGAACATCTTCCCAAGCCGAACACTCGCTGAGGCTTGTGCCTCTACACCCCCCAAAACGTCGTGGTACCTTTATTTAGCCCTGAGCCCCTTGAGGACCCTTTCCCACACGTACCTGTGAGCAAGCTGCAAAGGATCCATGGCTTCTGGTTTAGTGTTTAGGACACCAAAAACTGTCCCAAAGCGTAGGGTTTAGAGTTTAAAGGTGAGGGTTCAGAGTTTACAGAATGTTGGCCTTATCCCGAACACGGAAATTACAGAACCCGATGGTGGCAACCGACATGGCAGTGTTCCATGTTGTGCCCTAGCTTCGATGGAAAGACCCCAAACCGATCCACAAACAGATAAACCCGAAACCCCTAAATCCCCAAATCCCTCAACCCCTAATCACCCAAAGCCCTAAACTCTAAACCCTAAACCTAAACCCCTAAACCCTAATCACCCAAAGCCCTAAACTCTAAACCCTAAACGCTAAACCCTAAACCCTAATCACCCAAAGCCCTAAACTCTAAACGCTAAACCTATACCCCAGAGCCCTGGTCTTCGTCTTCACCCAAAGCCCTAAACCCTAAACCCTAAACGCTAAGCCTAGCCCTAAACCCTAAACCCCTCATCACCCAAAGCCCTAAACCCTAAACCCTAAACGCTAAACCTAGCCCTAAACCCTAAACCCCTCATCACCCAAAGCCCTAAACCCTAAACCCAGAGGTCTCTGAACCCGGAACAAACCCAGAGACTCCAATATCCTTTAATTGAGGAATATTCCTTAAATTATGGTAGGATCCTTAATGTGATTTAAGGTATATTCCTTAACTAAGGGATATTGGAGTCTCTGGGAACCTCGGCCTCTCAAGCTCCAAGTCAGACTGCAAGGGTTGCAGGGCTTCAGGGCTTTCGGGTTTTGGGGTTATATAGGGTTTTGGGTTCAGGGTTTAGGTCTTTCGGGTTTTAGGGTAATTTAGGGTTTAGGGTGCAGGGTTTAGGGCTTCCGGGCTTTAGGGTAATTTAGTGTTCAGGGTTGAGTCTGGAATAGACCCGTGATCAGCAAACCCCCTACCTTAAGCCGGGTTATGATAAGGATCAGATTAGTGTGGAACCTAAAAAGGGACCTAAACCCTAAACCCCAAAACCCTAAAGCCTAAACCCTCAACCCTAAAGCCTAATTTAGAGAACTACCCATATCCGGACACTCAGGAAAACCTGAATCCCAACCTCTGACATCCTCAAGGGCCTTTAAACCCATTTAAAGAGTTGTTGGGTTTGGGGTTTAGGGGTTAGCGTTTAGGGTTTAGGGTTCAGGGTTTAGGGCTTAGGTTTAGGGTTTGGGGTTTAGGGTTTGGAGTTTAGAGGTTAGGTTTTACGGCATCTCCTTGTGCCACATCTGCTCTTTTGCGGAGCTGACGTGGAGGTGACGATGCCCGTGAAGCAAATAGTCCTCGCCAAGAACCTGTCGGTGCTTCGAGCGCATAACGTAGAAACCTGAACAATTACTGACAGTCCTTCCCTGACTATGACTAGAGTATAGTATCCTAGCGGAACCCTTATAGGAACCCCCAAAATAGTGTTGGTAATAATTTAGGCCCCTACATTACACCATGTCCGCGTCTTCATAAGTTCGTATCTGAGGAGGGAGCCTCACAACTTACGACCCGAAAGCCCACGTAAGCAGCGAAGCCCCAAAGTTCTGAAACCCCAAAGCCCCCAGAGCCCACACACACAGACACGGGTTTAGGGTTTCAGGGTTTCAGGTTTTCGAATTTAGGGTTTAGGGTTTAGGGTACGCATGACGCCTCTTCTTACGTCCCCGGAACCTCCATTTAGTTTCCGCTCTTATTTAGGCTTAAGAGTTCCTGGTGTTGGGGGCAAGAGGTTGAATTACATGCTCCCTCAATAGTGTTTAAAGCTTTCTGTGTGGACAAGATTCCCCATCCTACTAAAGCTGCAGTTTCGTAGGCTCCTAGTACAGACATGGGGAAAGATGCTGTAGGAACCCGACAAAAAGTAGGCTATACCCTAAACCCTAAACCCCAAACCCTAAACCGTGGTGGGGCGTAAGAGTAAGAAATGTGCAGCAAGGATGCGGCTGAGGTTGCCTGTCGGACTGACGGCGAATCCTGAGCTGGAGCTGAGGATTTAGGGTTTCATGTAGAGGCCTTGATAAGTGGAACAGGGTTTGGGGGCTCTTTACATTATATTCATAATAAGGAACCCCTGAAAGTAGTATAGGTTATTATTTAGGCTTCTATATCTTGGGAGTGGCATCTAGGGTTTCGGGGCGTAGGGTCACCCAACTGCTGGGATTTGTGTTCGGGAGCTCTTCTAGAGTACGTACCGGGCAAAAAACTTGCACGGACAATACCATGACAACGATTTTAAAAGCAGGGAAGCGTTCTAGATGCCTAATGCTCTTTAGCATGCAGGAGTCGGGGCGCAACCTCGAATATTCAAGGGCTACGAGAAACAAAGGCACAAAAACCTGGAAAACCGAGGCGGTGGAACATGCCTAAACCGTAACGGTTTAGGGTTAAGACCCCTGACAAAGCTGTCAACAACCACCCTCGAATGCCACTGAACCGAAAGCAGCTTCGAACCTAGAGCTTAGGGTTTAGGGGTTAGGGTTTAGGTTTTAGGGCTCAGGGCTTAGGGGTTAGCGCTTAGGGTTTAGGGCTTAGGGTTTAGGGCTCAGGGCCTAAGGGCTTAGGGTTTAGGGCTTAGGGGCTGAAGATGGCTCAGGGCGGAGATCTGCAAAATATTCTTGACCCACGAAAAGCGCTGGAGACCTATCCCCCCTAAATCTGGGACCCTGAAGCCCTCACGCCCGAAATCTTTACGGTAGAAGCCAGAAAGTTGGAAAATCAATATCCCCATGCCCTTAAGGTAAAGTATAGGGGATCCTAGCACTAATCCTCCTGAACCCATGTTCCAACTTTCTCTGTAAACCTCTGAACCCTAAGCCCGCAAACCTGGTGCCAAAAGTTTTGGAAACCTCTGGGTCTCCGGCTAGCACCGACATCAGCTCGGGGATTGCCGGCAAGCAGTCATCGCCGAGCCTTGTCTTGGGTGGGTTTAGGGTTTAGGGTTTAGGGTTTGGGGTTATCATCATGCATTCGATTTGGGTTTCGGGCTGTTGACGCCTTATTCCTGGCCCCCATGCACGCCAGTAGGATGGCTGATAGAATCCGTGTCGATTTCATCGGCAATCATGCATCGTGCGTCCACAATTTCAGCGCATCATACCACACTCACAAGCCAATGCCTATGCCACAAGCCAGACGTCCGTATACAATTTGAGGATCTCACCGCACCCCAGAAGTCGAAGGATACCCAACACCGGTGGACCAAGACCGATCACAAAAGTAGCGGAGTCCTCAAAAGCTGGGATGAAGGTAGGTAGGATTCAGGATCCCTACTTTGAGGACTCTTCTTTTGGGATTACCCCGCCTGCCTTCATTCTGCCCCTGGTGCCCCTTTGACAGTAAGCCGCCGCAGGCTGAAAACCGAGACGCAAAATCCTAAAACCCTAACCGCCCCCCCGCCCCGCCCCCCGAGCCCTAAACACTAGACCAAACACTAGACCCTGGACTACAACACCCCTGAAGACCCCATATGCAAAAGCCTCAAATCCCCATTCTAAACCCCAACCTGCAACCCCTAAACCCAGATTTTCAGCCCTCAAAACCCTGTAAGAAACCTCGTCAAAGCCTGCGAAACCCTTCAGAAACCCCCCATACCACACACTGTGACCCCTCAAGACAACCTTATGAAAACCTCAGAACCCCCTATCTGAACTCTAACCCCTAAACCCTCAACGCCAACTTCAGCACTCAAAAGCACTTAAGACCATTTAAACAGCCAAGAAACTGAACGGTTGCATGCGGACCGATGCTCGCGATGGCTGCAGCCTTATTCCGGATGTTTTCATGTACCTCAGAAAGAGTTTTCCCGAAAGCATCGCGAAGGGTTCTTCCGTGCGGAGCCTCGCAGAGAAAATACATAGAGAATACGTGGAGTCAAGTACACTTGACTTTACCACACTTGACTCTACGACACTTAGCTTTACCACACTTG